GTTTGTGTTTTGATAATTGACGATCACTTGTAAATTGAATACAAGATTTTCCATACTCTAATATTTCTAGCGGAAAGTCTCTGATGAATCTCTTCAAGCTAAAAGATATTATTAGCATACAGACACACTTAAACATCGTTGACTGTTAAGCAACAAAGCTAATCTTTACCGTATCACGTTTTTCTGTTTTTGGTTCCAGGCAAGAAACACCTCAAGAAACTGAAAACTAAAGGTTAGTTTGTTATGAGATTTACCTTATGCTGCTAGGAACGGGTTTAGTTCATTGGAAAACGGTTTATTGAACATTTCACATAAACATTGAAATTCGATTTCAAATGGTGGTTGACATAATGGCGAGGCACCTAAAATTAAAGAGTACTACATCTTTTTCATTTTTTAGCTGGCAGATCGAGGAGTTTCTCGTTTTCCATCTCCACGAATGGAAAAGGTAAACCTTTTTGAATTTAACTTTGCTTTTGCTTTAATATCTGTCGGGTATATACAGTCTTCCCGAAGACAGCCAGAGCATCCTTGCCGAAATGGGGAGTCAACACCCACCGGTTCTTCTAAGAATCACACCTTTTTCAAAGGGACTGATTCCATGGTGTACTTGCAAGCCTATATCTCATGTAAATTCCACCATGCAAAATTCAAATCTGACTTACCGTTTTTCACTCATTAACTGTCTTGACTAAGATATTCTTCCCTTCACATGTATAGGAAGGGTGTTAATTTTGTATCAAAAGGATTTACACCGTCAAGTCTTAGACTGGAAAGGTTTTGGACAAAAAACTTTACTGACTGTAGATTTTCATATAATTGTAGTGGATAGAATTTATGTTTTGATAATTGATGATCACTTGTAAATCGAATACAGGATTTGCTACACTTTCATAATGCTAGCAAAAATTCTCTGATGAAACTTTTCAGGCTGAAAAAAATTGCCAAACAAACACACATAACATCGTTGACTATTAAGCAAGAAAGCTACACTTTACTCTATCACGTTTTTCTGGTTTTTTTGTTTCCAGGCAAGAAACACCTCAAGAAACTCAAGTCTAAAGGTTAGTTTGTTATGAGATATAGTTTATGCTGCTAGGAACGGGATTACTTCATTGGAAAGTGGATTATTGGACTATTTCACATAAAAATTGAAATTCGATTTCAGATGTTAGTTGACATAATGGCGAGGCAACTAAAATCAAAGAGTACTACATCTTTTTTATTTTTTAGGTGGCAGATCGAGGAGCTTCTCGTTTTCCATCTCCAGGAATGGAAAAGGTAAATCTTTTCGATTTCACTTTGCTTACACCTGTTGGGTATATACAGTTTTCCAAAGGACGGCCAGAGCGTCCTTGCCGAAATGGCAAGTCAACACCCACCGGTTCTTTTAAGAACCACATCTTCCAAAAGGACTGATTCCATGGTGTACCCGAAAGCCTAAATCTCATGCAGAAAGATAGGAAGGGTGTTGATTTGGTATCAAAGTAGTAAGGATCTAGACCGTCAAGTTTCTGACTGGAAAGGTTAGACAAAAGGCTTTCCTGACTGTAGATTTTCATATATTTTTAGTGGATAGAATTTGTGTTTTGATAATTGACGATCACTTCTAAATCGAATACAAGATTTTCCATACTCTAATATTTCTAGCGGAAAGTCTCTGATGAATTTCTTCAAGCTAAAAGATAGTAATAGCACACAGACACACTTAAACATCGTTGACTGTTAAGCAACAAAGCTACACTTTACCGTTTCACGTTTTTCTGTTTTTGGTTCCAGGCAAGAAACACAACAAGAAACTGAAATCTAAAGGTTAGTTTGTTATAAGATTTACCTTATGCTGCTAGGAACGGGTTTAGTTCATTGAAAAACGGTTTATTGAACATTTTCACATAAAAATTGAAATTCGATTTCAAATGTTGGTTGACATAATGGCGAGGCAACTAAAATTAAAGAGTACTACATCTTTTTTATTTTTTAGGTGGCAGATCGAGGAGCTTCTCGTTTTCCATCTCCACGAATGGAAAAGGTAAACCTTTTTGAATTTAACTTTGCTTTTGCTTTAATATCTCTCGGGTATATACAGTCTTCCCAAAGACAGCCAGAGCATCCTAGCCGAAATGGGGAGTCAACACCCACCGGTTCTTCTAAGAACCACACCTTTTTCAAAGGGACTGATTCC